TTCCAAAACTTTTCAGCTTTTAACCCACAAAATAACAGTAGCAGAGACCTGAGACAACAACTGTTTTTATATGATAAACATTTGTATCAGGTCAACTAAACATGGGCATAGTAACAATATTTTTATACCACATTTATCCATTTTAAATACACTAACCTCACTCCTTTGTAACAACTAAGGCAAAAATGTAATTAATTCAGAAAATCTTTTCAGGACCCCACCTTGATGTTTCAGGACCCCACTTTGGGTCCCGACCCCAACTTTGGGAAACACTGAACTGGACTTGTTTCTGTAAATCCACTTAAAACATGCAGCTGTTTGTCATGTCTCTTTCCACTTTTCAAAAATACAGTTTACAATTTAGTCTACATGCTTATATTTTCTTGAGTTTTTATTTTTATGTACTTAATATTTTTCATTAAAAGATGACATATGATGCATATATAATATATGTCAAAATAATATATAAATAAACAGTTTAAGTCTGTTTAATAAATTTCTGGTATGGGTAAGGAAAGCAAGAATCTGTACAGGGGCAAAAGAGTCGGGACCCTGGGGGACTTTCTAGGAGTTCTGCGCTGCAGTTGCAGGTGGAGTATAAACCGTCCGTGACGAGGAGAACGTGTCACAAGATGAGACGTGTTCACTTCTCATGGAGCGTGGAGAAGGCCGCACTCCGTACGTCCTGAACTAGATTCTGATCATTACTAAGATATGAGCTCAGACCTGCTCGACCCTCATTACCTGCTGAGTGTTGTCAGCTGAGCCATGAGATGTGACAGAAACACTTCAGATGTGGCAACTTGTCATTGCACCTCCGTTAATTGAAACAAAAACCGTAGAGCTTTGTGTGTGTGCGTGCGTGCGTGCGTGCGTGCGTGCGTGCGTGCGTGCGTGTGTGTGTGTGTGTTTTTATTCTGAATGAGTGTCTGAATAGGAACTTTAATAAAGGTCGGAAAAAGATGCACTCACTGAAAACTAATCTTACTGCCTGTAAGATAGAAGTGGAACAAGAAACATCTGAAACGGTTTAGAGTTTTTTTTGTTTTTTTGGTGTGTGTGTGTGCACATGTCTTGATATTGTTGTGAGGACTTATTTTGACATTAGGCTATTCTTGTGAGGACATGTTTCCTGGTCTACACAAGGGGAAAACCACTGGTGGGTTAGGTGTAACGGGTCAGGGTTAGGCTGTAGAAGTTAACAAAAGGCAATGCAAGTCTACACAAAAATAATAAAACATGTATATGTTATTGTTACCTTGCGGGGAAGATTTTTGACCATTTTCCCAGTACATACAGCTTTATGAGGACACACTGTTCCTTTATGGGGACAAATTAGTATGAAGGCTAGTTTTGGGTGGCGGGTTGGGTTTAGGGTAAGGGGTCAGGTTTAGGCTATAGAAATAAATGGCAAATGAATGGAAGTCAATGCAAAGTCCCCATGAGGATAGGAAAATAAAAATGTCCTCACTTTATTGGGTAAAAACGTATGGCGGTCCTTACTCTGTAGCAGAAACAAGTGCACGCACACACGTTTGTTTTTCTATCCTCATGGGGCTTTGCATTGACTTCCCTCCATTTAAGGTCAGGAATAGACTAGTAATGGTTAGTGTTAGGGTTAGGCATAAATTAAGTTACAAAATGAATGGAATTCAATACAAAGTCCTCAGTTTGATGCAAGTACAAGGATGTGTGTGTTTGTGTAAGGGGTGAGAGTGATATGAAACTGAACCAGAAAGACCTAGATTAGTTTAACTGCATAGATTTAAACTGGAACTTTTTCTGAGGCCTGTTTAGTTCCTAAAAATAATTTTTGTTCAGAAAATTATTATTAATAACTTCATTAAAAACAACAAACAGAACAAAAGGATATCCACAAGTAAAGTTAAATATAAGTAAATACAAGAGGATATGAAAGTACAGTTCAGGGTAAATCTATTCAGTTTTTTTCTGTCCCAGTTTCTTAGTGACATTGGGCGTCATGCAAGAACCGTTCGTACGCACAGATTTGTTCTTAAGTTGTGCGTACGAGTGATTTAGGAGAATTTGTGGCATTCACCAATGTTTTCATATTCTAAGATTTTTTTCAGATACGAACAAAATTTACGAGTGGTCCAGACCTGTTGTATATTTTACGAGCAGTCAGTCTGCTGTTGTCTCCCGGTGCGCAGCGCTGCGGCTTCTGAATAAATGAAAATGATTTAACAC